TTGGATTGCTAGCTGGGGGGGGGGGCTCTGCAACTTACCTGGCTGCTTCTTGCTCTGACTGAGGGCTGCTGGGAACAGGGGGTGGGGCTTGTTGCATGTGCCCACCCCCTGGGCTCTTTACTGCTGGAGCTCCACTCCTGTGCGCTCCTGCAGGAAATGACCCCTGGCTCTGTCAGAAAGTTCTTCCTAATGTTTAGATGAAAACTATTTTGATTTAATTTCAACCCATTGGTTCTGGCCCGACTTTCTGGGGCAACAGAAAACAACTCCACACCATCCGCTATATGACATCCCTTCAGGTACTTAAAGATGGTTATCATATCACCTCTCACTTGTCTCTTCACCTGGATATACAGACTGAGCTCCTTCAAGCTTTCCGCATAGGACTTGGTCTCCAGACCCCTCACCATCTTCATAGCCCTTCTCTGGACACTTCTAGCTTGTCTATATCCTTCTTAAATTGTGGTGTGCAAAACTAAACACAGTACTCTGAGGTCTAACCAGAGCAGAGTAAAGTGATATCATCACTTTGTGTGATCTAGACACTATACTTCTGTCAATACAGCCGAAAATTGCATTTGCCTTTTTAGCTACCACATCACACTACTGACTCATGTTCAGTGTATGGTCTACTAAGACCCTTAGATCCTTTTCACACATACTACTGCCAAGACAAGTCTCCCCCATCCTATAATTATGGATTTGTTTTTTTCTACCTAAATGCAGAAATGTACACTTATGAAATTCATTTTATTTGGTATAGCCCAATTTTCTAGCCTGTCAAGATCATCCTGTATCCTCACTCTGTCTTCTATCGTGTTTGCTACTGGTTATCTTAAAGGTAGAGGAGGAAGATCTTATACATGCTGCTACTTACCGGAAGCATGAATGCACCCTCGCACTTCAAATTATTTTAACAGGGAATAATAAACTCTTTTAATAGGGTCCACTCTTTTAGTAGGGTCAATATGCTAATTGCATTGATGGGACAGAATAAAGCAATAATGAAAAATGATAAGGAATAACACCTGTAGGTAAACCTGGGAAATGTATTCTATGTAACTTGGACAATTATAATGGTCCCTTCTTGTTTTAGCATACAAATATCCAGATATAAAAAGTAATAATACATTGTGATGCAGGATTGTTTACCGTTCCAAAAAATGCTGAAATTCCATCCTGTCTATTTCTTTTTCAGAGTCTGAATCATGTATCTTCAAGAGTCGCTTTGATTTCTGTTTCTTTTCTGGGTCAGCAGCATTTCTAAAGCAAATAAATTTGGCTTATCTAAATGAGATATTTTTCAGGAATATCAAAAAATGAAAGGACCCAACTATGTATTTTGCAATGCAAGCATGGAAAAAAATACAAAAATAACAGCAAAATCTCAGCAGACCAGACAAATTTCACCCCAACCCTTTTTACTGCAATTACTATACTTTGTATTCTTGATGTCATCAGAACTTGCTGTCAAGGACAACAATTTTGGGGCATATAAGAAAAATTAAACTTCAACACTGAGCTGTTTGACCTTCTAGTGTAATATCCAGTGGGGAATTCATATGGGAGAGCTGCACAAGATCTACAACAAAGTCTGAGTCAATTGGCACCTTTAAGACTATCAAAGTTTTATTCATGGTATAAGCTTTTGTGTGCAAGCACACTTCCTCAACTCTAGAGGCATCTGAAACATGGACATGCTCCCCACACAAATGGCATGTTAGTGGAAGTTTAAAAGCTGGAAATATGAGGCACATGTGTATGTTATAAAGTCTAACATTCCTCCAAACGCTGATTCTAATATGCACCACCTCTGCACTTCCATGCAGGAAATGGTGTGCAAACGTCAGGAAAATAGTGGCGTGGAATTACTGCACATACATCTATTTCACTATTTCCAAAGACCCACACAACCTGTTCCACAAGAAGACTTTACATTTGTGTTTCTCAAACAGAACTGCTCTCCCCAGAGAAATGCTTTTAAAATTGGGTACAGAGGGAGCTTTCAGAACCAGCTGGTGTGATATGTAAGTGCAGATCCACTATTAAAGGAAACTTGCCAAAGCCATGTCTGCAGCAAGTCTGTGTGTACATGCAGACTAGCTGTAGTCATCCTAAACTATATGGAAACTGCATGCTATTTCCTTTGCAGAAGTAGGATATAAATTATATTTAAAATTGACTTATGTGAAACAGGAATAAGGGGCAGAAGAACCTTCCCATCTTAATTCTACCCTTCCAACTCAAGATCTAACTGGTACTGCATGGAGAACAATGTGACCCCATTTTTACATAGTTAGCTGTCTCTGTGTCCACAGCAGGGTTAAGGTCTCATTATGGGCTCTTACCAGAATTAGGTAACTAATCATTTAATATAATGGCAGGAGCAGAAATGCTCAGTTCATCATAAGGATCACAGCAACAACCAATTTTTTTTATCTTTTAAAAAATATGCCAAAAATGGAAATCCAAGAAGTTCATAAAAGCTAGTTTGGAAAACTTTTTGATGTTGCCTTAGATCTAGAGAACAAAACTTTTAAGAAGCTCAGACCATTCATTTCCTTTCGATGTAAAAAGATCTGAATCATTTTAAGAACACCACATTCACATTTTAGATCTGGCAGAAAGAGAACTAATTATGAGATGTATGCGTCAAAGATTTCAATTTCAGGCTTGACTTTACTTTGAAGATTATTTTTTTAACTTTATCATTTTTGCAGGCATCTCAGTAGACAGCCCTTGTGAATGCTACTCATTGTTCAGCCATGTATGAAGTGTATTTAATCAATCTGAAAAAGTAATATTAAACTATTATCAAAAAGCATCAGATGTTCTAAAAACCTTAAAAGAAAGGTCAAAAGGTGACATCTCTGCTAACAATGTGAGAAACGATGTATTTAACTTATTCTTTACGCCAAAGTGTTTCATCATTATATGAATATTCAAACTTTTGTTATATAAAAAGAGAATATAAAATCTGCTTTCTTGACAAGAACTATATTCACCATTTTCAAGTACTTTATCCAAATACATATATTCCATCCAACCAGAAATTACGGGTTTCATATGGAAACTGCTCAGCTGAAACTCTATAGGCATGTATAGTTCAGAAAGCAAATTATAAATCCCTGTTTCTTTATAACCTTGTAATTTTTAGGAACACCAATCAAAATTATTTATATAACTGCAATTTTTCCCCAGATCCCTACATTCTTCCCTTTTCAAAAACAGTTTGGTCCCAGAAAGTAAGAATTTTTTTTTTAAGTAAGTGTGAAATCTTTCATAATCTAAAGCAGTTTCTGCTGGACATGGCTTCTGGATGGCACAAAAATCTTCCTCAAATAGTTCCAGTTTGGACCTGAGGCCCCACTACCATTTAACTGATTTTAAAAAAAATGTAATTTGAAAATTTGTACATTCTTATGCCAATAGAAACTGAACCAATTAGAGATATCCCTTCCCACTCTTCGTATGGTAGTTCCATTTTCACTTTCACAGTCTATAACTACTCGATATAAGATGCTTCCTTGCAAGAACACAATCTAAGCACAATATTTTAAAGAATACAATATTGTTTTTCCTTCCCTTCTCCCACCATTTCCAAAATATTAGCTGCTTCTTGTTCGTCTCTTATGTTACCCCACTGGTAGGGTTCAGAAAACAAAGTTGCCAACTCTGATTTAGGAAATTCTTGGAGATTTGGGGGTTGTTCTGGAGATGAGGAGAGGGATCTCAGTGGTGATGTGATGCCATAGACTTTATACTCCAAAGTTGCTATTTCCTCCAGGGGAACTGATCTGTGTAGTCTTGAAGTAAACTGTAATTCCAGGATAACTCCAGTCCCATCCTGGAGGTTGACAACGGTAACAGAAAGGTAGTTCCTGGGTGGTGCATGCTAGCCCATCGTTCCCAAAACTAGAAATCTTTAAGACTCCCAAGAAGCTAGCTTTAGTTAAAACCTGTTGTTAAAATCTATTTCTTTCCCACACTGCTAGGAACACATCAAACAACGTTCCTATCACCACTTGTTAGCAACCACAAAATAATGTCCTAAGAATGATCAGCTATGCAGACTGAAATAGTTGATCTATCTAGATAACAGTGAACATCATGTTCTTCAGCATTTTCAGTGCAGTATGAATAGTTGGAAATGCTGACTGAGAACTATGCTCATTCCTGAACTGCTGCATTTAATGTGTTATTTGACAAACACGAGAGTTCATTTCTAATGACACCAAACTATACATCAGCCCCCCCAAAGAGATAACAGCAAGGTTGCAGAACACAAAGCCAGGATTAAAGACAGAAGCCCATCCCAATCAACAGCTGCAAACAATGAGATCATGTACATGACTAGTAACATGCTCAGTAACAGAAATATGGTGCACATTAGAAGGGCATCCCAATCCACACCACCATGGAGGTAACTAATGTCACATATTTGTTTGCAGGCTGCTGAACTTATATGTAGTCTTATGAACTACCCATAGATATGTCTAGTTGGGCCCTTTGTACTTGTCCATAAGACAAGACTTGCTGGTAAACTAACAACGCATGATCACATTTCCATGGTGGTTGTATGTGGACAAATAAGTTTCAAAAATAGTATCAGAGCAGCAACTTCACAAAAAGTGGCATCAGCTGCAAGTCTATTCCCCCCCCCCCGAGAATATGCTGGTTCCTATAACTACTGCATCCATATGACGCTGTTTAGCCAGTAGCATTAGCATTCCCAGTCAACGAGTGTCTACACTGAACCTTGTTTTTCTTTTCTGCAAAGTAAAATGAATAGTTATTGGGGTGGCTGGAACAGTGGCTGATTTCACACTAGAGCTGCCTCGTGGTTGCGCCACCGTTTGCCCCGACACTATTTGTCAATTTCACACCCGAAGCTGCGGGGCTGCATTTTGACCCACGGCTTCGCCTGATTTCCTCCGCAGTTTCATGGTCCTCAAAAAACAGGATCATGAAACTGCGGGGGAAATCGGGCGAAGCCGCAAGTCAAAATGCAGCCCCACAGGTTTAGGTGTGAAATTGACAAATAGTGTCAGGGCAAACGGCGGCGCAACCGCAAGGCAGCTCTAGTGCGAAATCAGCCAGTGTTTCAAGTGAGAAATTGAAAACATCACCATTTTTGAAAATTATGGTAAAATTAATTACTGTTTCTCACCGTTTTTTCACCATAGTTGTACAATCAGGTCCAAGAATAGTAACAGCCTTGCTTTTGTCATGTTCTCCATTTCTCAGCACTCTCAGCCTCACAGGCATGTAGCTGTCTGACTTCCTCCCTGCAGGTTTCTTTAAAGGAGGGCTGTTTGGAATAAGCATCCCTTCAATGGGCCAGTCAAAAGCCTTTCAGTAAATAAAAAATATGAATAACAACATTATTAATAATGTGTATGTAGCAGCTTAGAGGGTCCCAAGAGCTTTACATATCCCTACAACCATCCTTTTAAAGGTGTCAGTACCCTCCTATTGCAAGAAGAACCAAGAACAATGGCCTACTTTATGGCCACCATGAACTCACGGCTGAACTGAGATTTAAATATGGAGCAGCCTGGCTCAAAACTCACATTCAGTCACTATATTACACAAGCTCTCAAGTATCTCCATAGTTGCATAAACCCACACAACAGACCAGTTTGCATGCATGTTCATAATGGTTCATGGCTTTTGCCGAAGCTGACTCTACAGATCTGCCCTTGCCCAAGAGAGATATTTTCAGATGCTTGGTAATTTAGTAAAGCAACAGATGAAGCCATCAAATTCTGTCTTTGAAGGAACAAATGCAACACAATTTCACAACTAGAAAGAAACTTGGAGCAGACCTGGTTTGAAGGACTTAACCTAAGCAGAGCTACATTCTTCTAAGCCCAATGATTTCAATGAACTTAGAAGGATGTGACATTTTGACAGCCCCATTCTAAACTCTAACCCCAAGGCCAGATTTGCAGTTTAGGAGTGCTACTCAACACAGCAGTCACCTTAGAAAACCAGGTGGCTGCTGTGGTTTGGAGTGCTTTTGTCCATTCCTGATTCAGTCAGATCTAGCCACAATGATCCATGCCTTAGGCATTTTCCAGACTACCTAAAAGTTCCATTTTCATTCCCCAATGTTACCATTTGTTTTCCTTGTGTCCAGACAACTTTGTCCCAGTTCTTCCCCATTTCCCTCCTGTTGCTGTTCCATTTAGGGATGGGCATGAACTGGTTCACAAATTAAAGTTTGTGACAAATTTTGGCCAATTTGTGCTTCACAAAGTCAAGTTTGTGATAGGTCAACCAGCATGAACGTTCCATGTGAACCTTGAAGCTGTTCGTGGAGGTTCATTGCAGTTTGTGAATGGATACATTTCCAGACAGACTGTCTCCATTCAATCAAGATTTTACCAGTTGTCAAAGCTAAGGGGAGGCAGAAGTTTCCCTGTGAGTTTGGTGTTATGTATTGATTTGTATGCATAAACTGCTATGCGAATCACCTAATTGAGATACCATGTTAAGCTTCGCCCTGGGCTAGGATCCTAATGTAACCAATAGGAGCCCTAGCCCAGAATGTGTCTGCCAATCAGCTTGCAAAGCGGGATCGCTCCTGATTGGACGTTATCTCTTCAACCTCATAGGTTGTATTACTGTACAGTGGGTGTGGCTACACTAGCCGGGAGTGTTTAAATATGAACAAGCCAGTGTATGTAAATAGTCTCTGTTCTCTGATGAGTTCTGGCTGGCGATTGTTGTACCGTGTTGGAGAAGTAACTGAGCTGAAGAAATAAACCGCATTCTTGCTGAAATCACTCTCCGACTTCTTGTTAAGCTCGCGACTTAACAATTGGCGACGAGGATGGGATCCTAGTGCGGGTAGGCAGCCCCGCTAGTACAGACCCCACGACGGACAACAGTGAGATCGCAGAGGCAGGCCAGCCGCAAGCAGCACCAGATCCGGTGACTCCGCTTGTGCGCATAAGGATGGCCGCGAACAGCCAGAGGTTCGAAGCATTCGAGCCGACTACCGAAGACTGGGATGCTTACCTGTCAAGGTTTGAGTTCCATCTTGAGGCAAATGACATCTCGACGGAGGAGAAGAAGAAGGCGACCCTTCTCAGCTCGTGTGGGAAGAATGTCTTCGACATCGCCCGGTCACTGGTGGCACCAGCTGACATCAAAGCTGTATCCTTTAAAGACTTAACGGATAAGCTGAAATCACATTTCTCTCCACAGCCGTCGGAGATAGCCTGCAGGCACACTTTCTACAAGCGGG